TTTTGAAGTTGGAATACACCTAGGGACTGCTGGAATACACGCCTAGGAATTGTTGGAATACAGACCCGAGTTCGAATCCAGATGAACCACATGAGCAGAATACAATAACTCTTTGGGGCTGGTCAGTTCAATCTGATCCTGTCCCCCTTCAATGGTGATAATATCTCAAGGCCTGTCCCCCTTTCGAAACGGTAGAACAGAAGTTCTGATCCTGGCTTTGTAAACCTTGTCTTCTTCCTTCAGGTGTTGGGCAGAGAGGTTTCATGACATGGTGTCGTCTCTTTTCTTGTGATGTCAGTGATGTTTCTTGCCTTCAGAGAGGTTTCATGACAACCAGGAAAGCACTAACTATATGCTGCCATGGTGTCGTCTCTTTTCTTGTGATGACAATCAGTGATGTTTCTTGCCTTCAGCATCCCAGTTATGTACGATCGCAACGAGGAAGCAGTAGAAAAGTTGGCTGTGATGGCGAAGAACAGAGCCTTGGAAGTCAAGGATCAGACTCTCAGTAAGCTCCCCCCAGCTGTCCAGTCAAAATTTGTTGCTCAGAAAGCAAAAAAGAGGCTGTGAATGTTGTTGACCTCTTAATGGCAACAGCTCCAGTCATTGTTCCATGGCACCATGCCATCCATATGTTGACCTCTTAATGGCAAACTTTCTACTCGGGCACACAGATTTCTTCTGTGTTGGGCTCATATTGTCAGGTGCTGGCCAGTTTGCTCAGAAGAGATCGTTCCGTTGACGAATAGATAAATACCTCCATGTATTGAGAATTTAGTAGACATGATGCTGAGGAAGGGCGGATGGACGGACGGACGGATGGATGGATGGATGGATGGATGGATGATGCTGAGGATGGACGGACGGACGGACGGATGGATGGGCGGACGGACGGATGGATGGATGGATGATGCTGAGGATGGACGGACGGACGGACGGATGGATGGTCGGACGGACTGATGGATGGATGGATGGATGGATGCTGAGGATGGACGGACGGACGGACGGACGGACGGACAGACAGACAGATGGTCGGATGGATGGATGGATGGATGGATGGATGGACCAATGGACAGATGGATGGATGGAGGGAGGGAGGGAGGGAGGGAGGGATGGACTGGTGCATAGTTGAACGCTCCCCCGTCTTAGGCAGGAAAGTCACTAGCTCAGAATAATGATAAGGTGATTCAGAATTTTCAGATAGAATTTCATATAAGAGGATAGACTGTGGGTCTTTGAGAGAGAGGAGCTTAGTGTAATGCACATGTAGTAATCTGATATGCTGCAGCAGCTGTTGGTCAACCATCACAGGCACAGGCAGGTATGGTGGGGCTCAAAGAGCTACGCTACGGGAGCGGAATGCTTGCGTTCTTCTATAGCCATGATACGTGGGGAAGTGAGCAGTGGCAACAGTTCTGTTCTGTCATTCCATCACTACGGACTAATGTGCGGCTCTTGGTCTTCGTGAGCGAGTTCCATGTGTGTCCTCTGTGGGAGGTAGAGTACTCCTTTGCAGTGCGACAGGTTGACGATAAAAAGGAGGATCTCCGTTAGATGAAAGAGATCCTATCACATAGCTGCTTGTGGTCGTGGACGGACTGGTAGAGATAATGTTGTTGGGATTCCCGGTGTTCTTGTCGCAATGAAGCTATTTTTAGTTTTTTTTTCTCCATGCAGGAGGAGAGGGGAATTTGTATGCCACTACCCTTATCGGGTCGCTGTGGCAAGGACTGTGGAGAGTAGAGAGTAGTTGTGACCATCTTTTCGGGTAGTCTGGGGACAGACGAACTTGACTCGTCAGTGTGCGTCATGTAGCGCTAAATCAATTGTGTTTGATGATGGATAATGCCTGGCAAGTTGGCAACGGACTTTCCACATTGCGACCATGTTCATTTGCAGTGAAGACGGGACTGCCTTTCAGGGGGAGGGCTACAAGGGTGCACCGTGAAGGTGGCTCACCGCGATATGCCTCAGCTGGCTGAGAAAGTGGACGATACGCTCCCCTTCACTCTTATGCGTTATGGGCTTCCTCTCTTGCTACAATGCAGAGGGTTCTGTGGATGATGTGGAGCAGCTCGGTAAAGCCTCAGGTAGAGGAGAGGAGAGGAGAGGAAAGAGAGGATGCTGGCAGCTTCAGGGGCATTGCTGGAATTACAGCTTCAGGAGTATTTGCCACAAGCAATTGTCTGCAGTTGAAGGTGAAACTCAGGTTTCGCTTTGGACTGGATGGAAGGGAACCCAAACAACAGATTGTGAGGAAAAAAGAGGAGAGGAGAGGAGAGGAAAGAGAGGATGCTGACTAGAAGAGAGCCTGCGCAGTGCTGTGCTGGTGCAAAAGACCAATTTGGGGTCTTTACGTTCAAAGCAGGCGTATGCTTGGAAAGAGGTGTGGAGCTGCAGAGGGATGGAAAGAGACCAGCCAAGGTTGAGAGAGAGAGAGAGAGAGGAGGATCTGCGGACTGTAGTAAAAGGATATAGCCCAAGGATGGAGCAAAACCCATCTAGTGGGGAAGAGGCGTTGCTGAGTAGATGCAAGGAAACCCATACAACAGATTGTCAGGAACGGAGAGAGGATAAGACAGGGAGGTCGCTGGGTAGACCGGAGCTCGCCTCTGTCTGCCGCACTGCTGCGCAGACCATTCTGCGGTCCGTACGTTCAAAGCAGAAGGAGTGGTGGAGCACCAGAGGGATAGAAAGAGACCGGAGAGGAGAGAGAGAGGAGGATCTTGAGATGGGAAGGATGTAGCCCAAGGAGGGAGGAGCAAAACAGAGTGGAGAAGGGGAGTCGGTGACTACATGGGAGGAAGTCAAACACAAACAACAGATTGTGATACGAGAGAGAGAGAGAGAGAGAGAGAGAGAGAGAGAGAGAGAGAGAGAGAGAGAGAGAGAGAGAGAGAGAGGATCTTGGGATGGGAAGGATGCAGCCCAAGGAGGGACCAAAACAGAGTGGAGAAGGGGAGTTGGTGACTGGATTCAAGGAAACTGTGAGGAAAAAGAGGAGAGGATAGGAAAGGGAGGGGGGTGCTGTCTAGATGAGAAGGACAGAAATTCCAGGTTATGAGACCATAGCCGTTGCGGAGACTTTTTACCTCAGAAAGTTCTTCTATTTCCCTCCTCGCTTCTCAGTAGCCGCATATATATATACATATATATCGTCACAAATAGATATATATATTATATATATAACCTGGGAGAAGAGGCTTTGCATGCTGAAAATGTCAATTTGCCATGGCAAGTTGTTAGCCAAGCTTACTCTTCTTCACCTCATCATGTGCATCCATTTTAAATGCATCTGGTCAACTTCTTGCTGTTTTCCCCTCCTTGGCTTCCACTTGGCTGAATTATGTAATTGCCATTGTCATCTGTGTAATGCACTGTAGAAAAAAAAAATAAAAAATAAAAAATAAAAAATATTTGTAATACACTGTAGAGTCGTGTAGACGCTCGCATTGGACAACGAGCTTGAACACACTTATGCCTGCTAATGCATAGGTACACAGTACTACACACCCCTTTCGCTGCTGCTGATGATATGATTCCACCAATTGTTGTGCCCCTGCTTATGAACATGGAGTACATGTAGGAGTTGTGCCGTTGTGCAGATGATGATGACCAGTTGTGCCGTTGTGCAGATGATGATGACCACGCCTGGAAAGAAAACACAGAACAAAAAATAGAAAGAAGGTTCAAAGAAGTTTGAAAACAACGTGCTGATATATCTTGGGTCTGATCGTTTTCGCTGGGCGTTATTTTGAACGGGGATGCTCTCTCGTTGTGAAAATTTTGTGTGTGTAGAAAAAGCAAGCTCTATTCTCTTGTACCCCTGCTGCAAGCCACTCTCCCTTTTTTCAGTATTCGCAAATGCTGACCTAAATGCTCAGTCCTCCACACGAATCCAAGCTATTTTTGTCCGCATCTTACAGGTGTAGTTTTTAATCAATGAAAAACAATTCTTCTTACTCTCCTTAGCTGCGATTTTACGACTGGTCGACTCCCCCACCAACCCACACCACCACC